AGTTCTGTGAAAAATGTCGTTCAAATTTTTGTAGGGATTGCAGCTTTAACAATATTTCTTCTTCTGTTGCTGAACCAAATGTAGCGTCACTCACCCACACAAAGTAAAGCCAACCTACTGATGCACCTGTGTGGTGAAGGAAAGTACAGTGATTACTGCAGGGCCCCAAGCAAGGAGTTCAGGAAGCCAAATGTTTAACTTATTCTATTGTTTACTTATTTGTTTGGCCATACTGTTGTGTCCCTTGCAGGATCTTAGTTCCCAGACTACGGATTGAACCCAGGCCTCCTGCAACGGAAGCCTGGAGTCCTAACTACCAGACTGCCAGAGGATTCCCCCAGGCAGCTAGTGTTTAGAAGGCCTGAACACCGAGAAGGCTTTCAGGGAAAGATTTTTAAAGACCAGGTGTATTGAGCATTCTTCTGACTGATTAATCGGGAGTCAACATCATCAGCCTCGTTAACTTCTTCCCCCTGGTGGGCGTTTCAGTATCTGCAAAACAGCTCAAATGACATGCCTCAGAATATCATCTATGGCCCTTGAGGAACTAAAGGTCCTTGACTTCAATGGTGTAACTATTACTTTGTCTTGCTTGACTCTTTCTCTGTGTTTCTGTATTTTCTCACTTCTCTGACAGAATTTATTCTTTGAAACTTGGGGAAAGCCAAGGAGGCGAAAGTTTTTCTACAGACAAGGCAGGAAAAGGACATGGTGGGGTCTGTCCCAGGAAGGCCCTGTAGGGTCCTGCTCAGTTACACTTCCAATCCATGAGCATGGACTATCTTTCCATTTATTTGTATCTTCAGTTTCTTTCCTCCGGAACTTCCCTGGTGGCCCAGGGGTTAAGAATCCATCTTCATGTAAAGAAGAGACTTTTGGACTCAGTGGGAGGAGAGAATGATAATTTGAGAGAACAGCACTGAAACGTACACATCACCATGTAAAACAGATAACCAGTGCAAGCTTGATATATGATGCAGGGCACCCAAAACCGGTGCTCTGTGACAACCTAGAGGGATAGGGTGGGGAGGGAGGTGGGGGGAGGGGTTCAGGATGGAGGCGACACTTGTATATCTGTGGCCAAGTTATATTCAGTTCAGTCACTCAGTTGTGTCTGACTCTTTGCAACCCCATGGACTGCAGCACACCAGGCCTCCCTGTCCATCACCAACTCCAGAAGCTTACTCAAACTCATGTCCATTGAGTCAGTGATGCCATCTAACCATCTCATCCTCTGTTGTCCCCTTCTCCTCCCACCTTCATCTTTCCCAGCATCAGGGGCTTTTCCAATGAGTCTGTTCTTCACATCAGGTGGCCTAAGTATTGAAGTTTCAGCTTCAACATCAGTGCTTCCAATGAATGTTCAGGGCTGATTCCCTTTAGGATTGACTGGTTTGATCTCCTGGCAGTCTAAGGGACTCTCAAAAGTCTTCTCCAACACCACAGTTCAAAAGCATCAAGGCGCTCAGCTTTTTTTATAGTCCAACTCTCACATCCATACATGACTACTGGAAAAACCATAGTTTTGACTAGATGGACCTTTGTCAGCAAAATAATGTCTGTGCTTTTTAATATGCTGTCTAGGTTTGTCATAGCTTTTCTTCCAGGGAGCAAGCATCTTTTAATTTCATGGCTGCAGTCACCGTCTGCAGCGATTTTTGGAGCCCCTAAAAATGGTCTCTGTTTCTTTCCACTGTTTCCCCATCTATTTGCCATGAAGTGATGGGACCGTATGCCATGATCTTAGTTTTCTGAATGTTGAGTTTTAAGCCAGCTTTTTCACTCTCCTTTCACCTTCATCTACAAGCTCTTTAGTTCATCTTCACTTTCTGCCATAAGGGTGGTGTCATCTGCATATCTGAGGTATTTCTCCTGGCAATCTTGACTCCAGCTTGTGCTTCATCCAGCCCAGCATTTCACATGATGTACTCTGCATATAAGTTAAATAAGCAGGGTGACAATATACAGCCTTGATGTACTCCCTTTCCCAGTTTGGAACCAGTCTTGTTGTTTCATGTCCAGTTCTATCTGTTGCTTCTTGATCTGCATACAGATTTCTCAGGAGGCAGGTCAGGTGGTCTGGTATTCTCATCTCTTTAAGAATTTTCCAGTTTGTTGTGATCCAGTCAAAGGCTTTTGCAAAGTCAATAAAGCAGATGTTTTTCTGGAACTCTCTTGCTTTTTCAATGATCCAACAGATGTTGGCAATTTGATCTCTGGTTCCTCTGCCTTATCTTAATCCAGCTTAAACATCTGGAAGTTCACAGTTCATGTACTGTTGAAACTTTCTTGTAGAATTTTGAGCATTACTTTGCTAGCATGTGAGATGAGTGCAATTGTGTGGTAGTCTGAACATTCTTGATGTATGGCAAAAACCATCACAGTATTATAACATAATTATCCTCTAATTAAAATAAATTAATTATTTAAAAAAGAATCTGTCTTACAATGCAGGGAATGCAGATTGGATCCCTCATCAGGTAACTAAGATTCTACATGCCTGGGGCAACTAAGCCCTCAACCTGCAATTTTTGAGCCCATGCACTCTGGAGCCCACAACTAGAGAAGCCCAAGAGCCACAGTGAAGACCCAGTGCAGCCAAAAAAAAGAAAAAAAATTTCTTTCTTCAGTGTCTTATACAGGTCTTTCACCTCCTTGGTTGAACGCATTCCTAGATATTTTATTCTTTTTGCTGCAATCATAAATGGGATGGTTTTCTTAATTTCTCCAAGACACATCTTTCTTTATATCCTGCAACTTTAATGAATTTATTCAATTTTTTTGGGTAGTTTTTCTATATACATCATCTTGTCACCTGTAAATACTTCGTTTCCAACTTCGATACCTTTTACTTCTTTCCTAATTGCTGTGGCCCAAGTCAATCACACAGCTGGTTAAGTGCAAAAGCTGAGATTCAAACCTTTTTTTTTTTTTTTTTTTGGCTGCACTGTGTGGCTTGTGAGATTTTAATTTTCTGAGCAGGGACTGACCCTACGCCCCCTGCAGTGGAAGCTCAGAGTCCTAACCATTGGATCGACAGGAATTACCTCAAAACCCACTTCTTCCTCAGATTCTACTGCCCTTATGCGAATGGAAACAGCATGTCACTTTGCTATTTAGGCCCTGGGCAGGGTTGAGATCTGAAGGTCTCTTACTCTGGACTGGCCAAAGGATGGGGAGCCAAGTCCCCGGTCTGCTTCCCCCTCCCTAGTAGGATCACACCAGCTCCCACCTATATGGGCACGTCTAGTATAACATTTGCTGGGGCCCACACTGGGCTGAGCACTGAGGGATACTGGAAGCTTAACAGTGGACAAAGGGACCTGGACCATCCCCCGGAGGCCTCTGTATACTCTGAGGCGCTGAACATGAAGAGCATTCGGGCTCCTGGCAAATCTAACCGCTCTAGCCCACATGCCTCACAACCAGCCCGGGACACCAGAGCTACCGGAGCAGCGAGCAAACATGGCAGGACGCCCTGGCTTTCTGTGCCATTTAACGGCCCGCTCAGTGACGATCTGCGACCCTCTTCATACTTTGTTTTTCTCTTAATACTTTTTCAAAATTTTTATCATTTTGGCCATGCCTTGAGGTACACAGGATCTTAGCTCCCCGACCAGGGATGGAACCTGTGCCCCCTGCAGTGCAAACTTGGGAGTCTTGAGCACTAGACCACCAGAAATTTTTTTTTTTTTAAATACTTCATGATCATCGTAAAGAGCAAGTCTCATTCTGATACCAGCGCATCTCAAAACTTTCCCTGCTGTTGGTTAATTCCTCTTGAACAAAGACAACAGGACTCAGGTCCAGAGCCTTCAGCAGGTAACGGTATAGGATTACAATTTATAATATCATTTCTCTTTTGTTTTCACTGCTTTTTGTTTATATTCACTTCTTTTTGTATTTAGGTTTTATTTATGGCTAGTGATAACAGTATTCATTAGTTTCTGGTAGCACGTTATTACGGTCAAAGATAACACCATGAGTTTGAGGATTAAGTCACACGGTTAGGAGTTAGTTTCAATCATGAGTCTGCCACAGCTCTGGAAAAATAACAAAATTTTTCCTTTGTAAAATGGACATGCTGGCTTAAAGATGCTCCTCTGCCCCCAAATAAGAATATAAACGCTACCATGGGTCCAATGCATTCCACAGTATGAAGGGAAGGTCCAAGTACCAAAACTTAACAGCAAAACAGATAAACACAATGTAACAACAAAGATGGGTGTTTCATCTCCTGGTTTATTAACTAGTCACAGGCCACATCAGTGACAGAGGCAGTCTCACTCTTGTAACATTAGTTTTATAAGTATGATTTCAACCCAGTTATAGACACTAACATATTCTTTTCCAAATGATTCTGTATTTTCAAGGTTGTTGAAAGGAAATGGCAACCCACTCCAATATTCTTGCCTGAGAATTCCCACAGAGGAGCCTTGTGGGTTCCAATCCATGGAGCTGCAAAAGAGTCCCACTCAAGGTAGCAACTGAACAATAAGGATAGTGTGAAATGTTACCAATTGCTGGAAGCCACGTGAACCTTTACACAGAATGTCTCTATTATTGCTCCAGTTTCCTCTGAGACTACAATTACTTAAAACTGAATTAAAAAATATATGTCACTCACGGAATAAACCTTTTAGTTCCAATTTTAAAACGAAAAGCTGCAAGTTACCCTAGTCAGGAGAACCGTGAAGCCCAGTGAAAAAGACTTATTTCCGTCTAACGTTCCTTACCAACACTGGCAGTGATAAATACGACATGGCACGTCTCTCTGCTCTCCCCAACTCCTAGACCAGGGAGGCTCTCAACAAGCCGTCTGCTCACAGCCAACAGGTGAGGGGTAGGCCCCCGATTTTGTGAAAACCCAGGGAGAAAACGCTGCAAATAATTTACTTCCATCACTCTGCGTTTGAGGCTCACACGCACCAAGTGCACACTCCCGGACCAGCATTCTGCGGGGGCCGGGAGCCCGGTCGGGACCCGTGGGGGTCTGAGTTTCATCTCGCGACCTCCGACGGCAGCAGAGAGTCAGCCTGGCTCAGGGCGAGCTGGTCCTTCTTCTCCTTCTGCAAGACCTGGTCCTCCCACAGCGCCTGGTCCACCTGGTCGTCGGTGAGCACCACGGGCTTGTACTTCTCTTCGAAGAGCCGCTCATTGGCCTCCGAGTGCAGCTGGTGGGGCCCGACGATGCGCAGGTGAGCCGGCAGGTGCAAGAACTCGTCATCGTTGATGTCGCAGTCGCGCATCCGGGCCCCCAGCACCCACCAGCGGCCCACGAAGCCCACATCCAGAATCCGGTCCGGGAAGTCGGTCCAGCGGGGCTGCAGGTAGCGACAGCGAGCCTGGTAGAGGCTGGTCTGGGCGTCGAAGGGTGCCTCGTACACCAGCGAGCAGAGGCCCAGGCTCACGTGGCGCAGGCAGCCGCGACCCCGCAGCCAGAGGAGCCGCTGCACGAACGCCTCCGAGTCGCGGTTGCGAGTGGCGGGCGCCAGCAGCAGGAGGGTCCCCGACGCGTCGAGCAGCGCCTCCTCGAAGGCTGCCTCGCTCGGTGCCAGGGAGCAACAGGCCGCCGCGCCACCCAGCAGCCCCAAGTACACGGCCGCCCTCCCGGGCCGGTCCCGCGCCGCCGCCGCTGCGTCCTTGCACGCCTCGGCGTAATCTTGGAGCAGCGAGCGGGCCCAAGCGCCTGAGGGGAGAAAAGAGCATTGACAGCCGCCCGGCCGCTGGCGCCACCCACCCCGCCGCCTCCCGCCGCTACTCACCCAACCGCGCCCACACGCCGGGCTTTGCGGCTGCAGCGTCACCCGCCTCTCTACGGCTTCGGGACCAAAATCTCTTCAGAGCGGCAGCCGCCATTGTCTTCCGGCTGGGCGTCCGATCCCCGAAGAGAAACACCAACCATACAAAACAGAAGGCCCAGACAATCTCTTCTGCGCAAGCGTCAACACTACCGGAAGTTGTTCCCCATCGGAAAAGGATAGCAGACGAACCGACACTGGATGTTGCTGTCCGATCTGAGTGGGGTCATCTGCGGCGGGTAGGCGGGTCGCGCAGGCGCAGAGAGTCCGTGCCCCGCCGGTTGAGATCGCCTCAGGTAAGGGGGGGCGTGGGTACACCTGTGGGGCAGTAGAGGCGAGTTCACGTTTCGGTGGGTGAGGTAGCCGCCAGGCCGGGCTTGGGGTTGAGGCTGGCGTCCAGGAGGGGCGCGGACTGGTGTCGAGAGCGAGTCTGATTGTCCTCTATCCTCAGAGGGATGCGGAGACGACCCTGAGAGACCATGGCAGCGGCTGACGAGCTGGCCTTCCACGGTGAGTGCAGCCGCGACCCGGCCCGAATCCTGTTTCCTCCACTGGCCGAAACCTCCCATCGAGGTTCCAGCTCAGAGCTAACCCCAACCCCAGTCAGCTGTGAACAGCCCCAGACATGAAACCCATTCCTAAACTCCTAACCCGTGCGTGCTTAGTCGCTCAGTCGTGTCCGACTCTTTGCGACCCCATGGACTGTAGCCGGCCAGGCTCCTCTGTCCATGGGATTCTCCCGGCAAGAATACTGGAGTGGGTTGACACTTCCTCCTCCAGGGGGTCTTACCAATCCAAGTATCAAACCCGGGTCTCCTGCATCTCCTGCAGGAGATGGCACCGCGTTCACCTTAAACTCGGACCACAAATCTGAGCCTCTGCGCCATCCCTGAGCCAGCCCTCATTGTGGGCCTATGTTAGGAAGGAGGGGACACGCCTCCTTCCCACTCACCACAGTTGAGGAAACTCTGGGCTGGGGGGAACACCGAGGGGGGGATGGTTACTCTTGGCTCCCAGATGTCGTTCAGTCACTAAGTCATGCCTGACTCTTTGTGACCCCATGGACTGCAGCGCGCCAGGCTCCCCAGACGAGCTGTGGGCAAAGCGAAGTTTCCTCGACTCCCAAATACACCTGTGTTCCATATTCCTTCTCGACAGAGTTCGAGGAAGCTACTAATCTGCTGGCCCAGACCCCGAATGAGACCACCACCAGAAGTGATCAGCTGGGCCCTAAGGGGCACGTGGCTGTGGCCATGGACTCAGGCGGCAGTTATGGAGCTGAGGATGAGGTAGAGGAGAGCGACAAGACTGAGGTGAGTCCCAGAAGTCCCTGGGCCCTGCCTCCATCTTGTCCCTCCTACCCCCCCTCCGGCGCGGCCCCCTACCCCACCCCCACACCCCCAGCACTGAAATCTGCCCCATGCAGCTCCTACAGGAGGAGAAGCCGCAGCCTGGTTTCTGGACCTTTGGCTACTATCAGAGCTTCTTCGACGTGGACACCTCACAGGTCAGACCGGGGAAGCTGGTGGGATGGGGTCCAGCCACTATTCAGTGGGAACTTACTGTGCACCAGGCCCTGGGCCATGCTGGCGATAGGCACATGGGAGAACAGCTCCCACCCAGGCTGGTGGACATGACTGTGTGCACTGCAGGGATGAGGACTGAATGGGATTCTTGGGAACACGGGAACGCACGTGACATGGTGGACAGGGAAAGGCCCCCTGGAGAAGGCGACAGATTTGCTGAAACTTAAGCAGGTAGACTTCGAGTGGAGGGAAGCATAAGTATGTTCCAGGCACGGGGAACAGCATAGGCAGCAGACGAGAGGTGAGAGGAGGCAACCACCACTGCGGAGGCTGCCTCTCAGTCTGGAGAGTGAGGTGGGGGCCAGGCAGAGAGGCCAGATCACCAAGGGTCTCATGAGCTATACTAAGGGGTGTGGGTTTTCTCCTAAAGGTGCTGGGGAGTCATGGAAGGGTTCAGAGCAGGAAAGGACTGAGTAACATGAAATTAGAGGCCAGGGTGGGAGATGGTAATAAGCCAGGGTTGTGGAGTAGGGAACATGTTGGCAGAGATGGGGGAAGGAGATTACCCAGGACTTGTTGACCGTTCTTATTGGGGGCAGGAGGTGGTGGAGAGCAGGGGAGTCCAGGGCAACCAAGCAGAGAGGAGGGGGAAGCTAAGAAAAAGATGGCAGGCCCTGAAGCGTCCTTCAGAGGGGGGGGACAGTGGGATAGTGAGTAGGGGCTGCCCAGGGCGAGGGGCTCCAGGCCACAGGAGAGAAATGAGAACATGGAGAGAGGAGGTGGGAGGTCAGCAGGGAAGGAACCCCTAAGGAGGGTGACCCTCTTTCCTTTGTGGGTGAGGAGCCCCAGATGGGCTTCTGTCCTAGGTCCTGGCCTTGCCCTGCAGGTCCTGGACCGGATCAAAGGCTCGCTACTGCCCCGACCTGGCCACAACTTTGTACGGCACCGCCTGAGGAATCGGCCAGACCTGTATGGTGAGTGAGGTCGTGCGTTGAGTTCATTCGATTATTGATGCATCACATGTTGACAGAGGGCCAGGCCCTGGTGTACAGCTAAGCACAAAAGCAGAGTCACTCAGGTAGAACTGAAACGTACGCTCTGTTCACGCAGCCAGGGCCAAGCGAGGCTGCAGAGGGCTGCGGGGCAGGGGGGAGAAGCAGAGGGTTTAGGGGCGGGAGCTGCTGTGTTGTGTGCGTTGCTCAGGGAAGGCCCCTCTGAGGAGGGTGAGGGAGTGAGCCTTGTTGGTGTCGGGGTTGAGGGTGGCGAGACCCAGGGAAAGAATATCACAGAAGAGGCATGTGGCAGCAATAGGCTTGCACTACGGGGCAGCACTGTCCTTGCACTGGAATGAGCTGCCAGCAGGCCCCAGAGGTGACCGGTCAGATCACATGGGCCTCCTATGCTTTGGTGAGAAGAGATCTTAGCTAAGTGCCCTTGGGTGCTGCAGGCCCTGTGGGGGACAAGGGCAGAAGCTGGAGGACCAGGGAGGAGTTGCATGTGGGATCATGGGCCTGGCCTGGTGGGGTGGAGAGTGGGGGTTAGATCCTGCCAAATGTGGAAGATGGGGCCAACAGGGTGTGCTGACCCACTTGACATGGGGTGGAAGGAGAGGTGACAAGGATGCTCCCCCAGCTTATGCCTGGACTCTGAGAAAGCGGGAGCTTCCCTGGCGGCTCAGATGGTAGAAAATCTGCCTGCAGTGCAGGAAACCAGGCTTCAATCCCTGGGTTGGGAAGATCCCCTGGAGAAGGGAATGACAACCCACTCCAGTATTCTCACTGGAGAATTCCATGGACAGAGAAGCGTGGCAGCTACAGTTCATGGGGTCACAGAGTTGGACATGACTGAGTGACTAACAATTTCCCCAGAAAGAGGGAATTCCATTTATCAATGGGAAAAGGCGCGAAGATTCTAAGGGAAAGAGTGGGCATGCTAGGCGGAATGGAACATTGACTAGAAGCCCCAGGTTCAGGGCAGAGGCCCAGACTTGGGACACTGGGGGCTGTGGGCACAGAGGTGACAGAAGACCCTGAGGTTGGATGAGCTCACAAAAGGGGTGAATGAACACAGAGGAGGTTTGCGAACTGGCTCAGGTGGGCCCCTCATTGTTAAAGAGCTCAGGGAGTCAAAGAGGCTGAGGATGAGATGAGACAAAAGCAAGAGTGTAAAATCCTGGGAACCACATGGAGCGTGTTTCCAGATGGAGGGGGATCAGCTATGTCAAAGGCCGTTGAAAGGCCAAGGGAGATGAGGGATGAAGGCTGGATTCAGCTGCTAGTCTGTCGCCAGTGTGACACCATATCGAGGGAGCGGTGGGGTGGGGCAGCCTGGGGCTTGGAAAGAGGCTGGGACCAGATGGGGCAGGACACTAGTCCTGGGGGCGCCCACCCTGGGGCCCTGACTGTGCTCCACCTACAGGCCCCTTCTGGATCTGTGCCACGCTGGCCTTCGTCTTGGCCATCACTGGCAACCTGACCCTCGTGCTGGCCCAGAGGAAGGACCCATCCATCCACTACAGCCCCCAGTTCCACAAAGGCAAGTGACATGGGCAAGGCCTGGAAGCTGGCAGGGCTGGGGGTCCCATGGGGCCCGGGAGTGATAACCTGATTGTCCCGCAGTGACCGTGGCCAGCATCACCATCTACTGCTACGCGTGGCTGGTGCCGCTGGCGCTGTGGGGCTTCCTGCGGTGGCGCAAGGGTGTCCGGGAGCGCATGGGGCTTTACACCTTCCTGGAGACCGTGTGCGTCTACGGCTACTCCCTTTTTGTCTTCATCCCCACTGTGGTGAGTGGGGCCTGGGGATGGGTGGGTCCCGGGTGCCACAGGGACGACCTGCTAGCCAGCTGTCTGTGTCACCCCCAGGTCCTGTGGCTCATCCCTGTCCCGTGGCTGCAGTGGCTCTTCGGGGCCCTGGCCCTAGCCCTGTCAGCCGCTGGCCTGGTGTTTACCCTCTGGCCCATTGTCCGCGAGGACACCCGCTTGGCAGCTGGGGTGCTGCTCTCGGTGGTGGTGCTGCTCCACACCCTCCTGGCCATGGGCTGCAAGGTACTGGGCTGGGTGCTCACCGGCTGGGCTCGGCGCGGGACTTGGCTCGCCGGCTCCGATGCTGACCCAGGGCTCTCGGATCAGTTTTATTTCTTCCAGCCGCTGCCTCCAGAGCCCATGGCATCTCCCCATCAAGCTACCTCTCAGCCTCCAGCCACAATGTTGCCACCCACCCTACCGAGGTCCATGGCAGCCTAGGAAGGCTGAGCCCGCAGGTGAGGCACTGTCCCCAGCTGTGGCTGGGGGCAGGGTCTCCAGCTCCAACTGACCCCCACCCCCACCAAGGTTAGAAGTCACAGGGCCACTTCTCACTTTCTCTCTTTCAGGCCCAAGAGATGGTGACTAAAGGCTCCCCTGAAACCTCGAGATCATTTCGCTACTTTCCAGACTTTTCTTACAAAGCAAACACTTTTATTTTCTATGCAAAGGTGATTCAGAGAATTTATATAAAGGCGGGAGAGGGGCAGAGCAGGGAGCTTCCAGGGCGGCCATCACCCCCGGGGGCCTCCCCAGCCTGGGCCGCACCTGCTCTTCCTGGGGCATCCAGAGAGCGGGCCTTGAGCTGAGCCTGAGCTCCGCCACATCCAAGTCTGGGGTTGTTAGAAACGGGGGGACACAATTAGAAGAAAACTGCCTGTGCTGAAACATATATTTCCGTGGGTTTTTTTATTTTTTTCCTTTTCTTTCCTTCTTTTTTTTTGGAGAGGTCCCTGCAAGGCCCCTTCCCAGGTTGGGGAGGGACCAGAATGCCGTCAGAGTAGGAGGGACAGGAGGAGCATCTACAAATACTGAAGGGGGTACACAGGCCTAACGTTAGCTACAAGGAAAAAGGACGCCTTCCACGACAGACCCTTGAGGTTTCTGCGTCTGCCCCAAGCGGCTGACGCTGACCCTTCCCTCCAGGCCCACGGCCCCCAGGCCACCCGTTCTAGCTCTGGGTGCAGGTGGCGGCGGGGCCTTCAGGGGCTCAGGGACAGGACAGCAGCAAGAGGCAGGGGCTGAGGACGGAGGGCCTTCCCGACAGCTGGGTGGGTTGTACATTCAAGTGTGAGGTGAACCCTTTGGTGGGAGAGGGCCGAGGGGCTCCTTGGGCTCCGGAGGCCCGGCCCCACCCCATCCTGAAGACTCGGCAGGGCCGCCCCTCGCCACTGAGACTCTGAGCTGGGGAGAGGGGCTGCTGGCTCGGCCCGGCCGGCCTGATTTCTCAGAGGGTCTGTGGATTGACACTGGTTCTTTTCATAAAAAAATAAAATTAAAAAAAGCAGCATGTCACGCCTGTGGTGACCAAGGCCTGGTAGTTGAAGGGGAGGCCCCTCCAGGAAGGGGCCAGGACTGCCTTCCCTGCCGGAGACAGACAAGGGACCGGCCCAAGGGACCAGGCGGGGCGGCCACTGCCCCTCTCCCTCCCTGCCAGGCCTGCAGCTGTCAGGCCCGGACACGCCTGTTACAGAAGATGTCAAACCCAGGTCAGGGTGGAGAGGGCCAGAGTAGGGGGCGGGGGGGGGGCACAGAGCTCCCACGACATGATCGTGTGTAAAATATGGCAGCGACACGCGCTTGGGGCCAAGATGTGGGTGGGCAGTGGGGTGGGGGCAGCGGCGGCAACGTCGTGTAAAAAAGTGTTCAAGTTCCCGTAGCAAAGAGGGCTGTGCCGGGTGTGGGTTTCTCCAGTACAGGGGTGAGAGCCGCCCGGGGGAGGGTCTTCATTTGGTTTCCTGGTGCTGTCAGTCCTTCCACGCAGGGGCCTAGCTCCCGTAGTGCATGGTGTTGGTCGGGATGGACATGGGTGAGGCCATGGAGATGGCGGGGCCGCCCATGGTGAACTGGCTGTTGACCGCATAGTGGGCGCTGGAGCTGCCGCCACTGCTGCCCTGGGCGCCGGAGGACCCTGTGGGGTAGGGGGTGGGCACTAAGGGGCCGCCTCTGTCCCCTTGCCCGCCCAGGTCCATGGCAGAGTCAGAGAGAAAGAGCACAGGCCAGAGGGCAGGAGGGCGCCCGGGCACACGCACACCCGCGGGGCCCTGCGACCCCCGCCCACCGTTACCTTGGACAATCCCCGTGCTCATTATGGAGCCCATCCGGGAGTGGGTGTGATTGACAATCCCCGTGTTGGCTGCACAGCAGGAAGAAGGAAGGAAGGAAAGGAGATGGCGTCACCGCCCCCAGCCTGCCTGGCCCACGTGCCCAGCGCGGTGGGCGCTCACACTCGTGGGGAGGGTGGGTGCGGTGCCCGCAGAACAAGGTGGAGAGGCAGTTTGGGGGGGAGCTCAGCCCCCGGGGAAGAAGCAAAGGTGGTGAGGCAGAAGGCCTTAAGTCCTGGGGTCTCACCTAGAGGAATCAGGTTGTTGTGGCCCACACTGGAGCCTCCGGCAATAACACTGCTCAGGTCGTAGGCGGTCGGCATTCCTGCACGGGGAGGGAGAGGTCAGGGCAGGAGAGCTCGAGGGGCCAGCACCGGCAGGGGGCCAGGGAAGGACCCTGCCCCCCACCCCCACCCCACGCACAAGCAGGCTGCTCACCGGCCACGGCCATCCCACTGCTGAGGTTGTAGGTGCTGCCGGCGTTCCACATGTTCTCCGAGGGGGAAGTGTAGTGGGAGCCAGGTGGGGGGGAGGGCGTCGTGCCTGTGTATCTGTGGCAGAGACGGCCCGTGGGCAGGGCGAGGGGCAGTGGGCGAAGAGGGCACCCCCCATGCAGGCTGAGGGCCCGTCCTACCTGAAGAATGGGTTTTTCAGGTCCAGGAGGTTGCTGGACTTGGAGCCTGTCTGGTCCACCTGGGCCACAATACTGATGTCGTAGCTCTGTCTGCGGGGACAGGGAGGGTGGCCGTGAGCTGGCTGCCTGGAGGGACTGAGCCCCTGACGCCCCCCAGCCCCCGGTGGCTGCTCCCACCTTTTGTTGGCAATAAGCAGACATGTCCCTGAGAGCGTGTCCCCAGCCTTGGCAAACAGTGGCGACTGGAACAGGCACCGGACTTGGTACCAGTGGGTCAGGGGCTCCGTCGGGGCCGTGGACAGCCACACGGTCATTCTGCCAAGCAGGGACAGGCATGCCCTTGACTGGGCTCGACCCCCACCTTGTGCACTATGAGCTCTCCCCAGGCACCTACCCCCCACCCCGGCCCCCGCCATCCAGGGGTCCCCTGGAGTGGAGACAGGCTGGCTGTCCAGGAAGTTCTACCTACGCCTACTCGCCCTGACAAACATGCCAAGAGACAATCAGGTCCCGCGAAGAACAGTCACTTTGAACAGGGTACACCGCACCCATCCCCCCAATAGTCTATTGCTCAAAGGCCAGCGCCCACCGCCTTCTGCAAGGAGCAGTAGCATCCAGCGGAGTTGAGTCAGGCCTTCCCAGCCCCCAGGGCATCATCTGAGCTGGCCAGGCCTGGAGTCACCTCCTGAGGCTGGAGTGGGGGGCCCCCCGCTCTGCTCGGTTGCACTCACATAGAGCCGATGAAAGCGACATCAAACCAGAATGCCAGACCGTGAACCAGCCCAGAATGCAGCATGTGGAACTTGAATGGGATTTCTATCCTGTAAGGCAAAGGGCAGTGATTTCTGGGGAAGCTGAACCAGGGCTTCTGGGACAAGAGAGGGGTGTGTGGGTGTTGGGTGTGGGGGCCCCGGCCCACCGGGCCTGGGAAGCAGGGTTCTGCCCAAGGGAGCCGGCAGTGACCCTGACCTCCAGAAGGAGTTGAGCCCAGGAGGACGGGGTGCCAGGGGTGGAGAGCTGCCGGTACCTGTGCAAATCTCCTTCTTTGGCTTCTAAGAAGTTCACCGTGTACTTGACGGACTTGGCCATCAGGATCCGGATGTCAAACGTGTCCTGGGAGAGAGCAGAGGAGTGACCTGGCTTCAGGCACTGGGGCTGTGAGGAGAGGGGGAAGCCCGCCCCGCTTCTAAGTCTGGCTGCAGCCTCTAGGCCATTTGGCTCAAACCAGTTTGCAGTTTGCCCTTCTCAGCCTTGCTGGGGGGAGGAGGAACTGGTCTAACACAGTGGAGGGCAATTAGGTGACAGCTCCCAAAATGACAACTATTCATCTGCATGAAAGACCTGGCAGTTCCACTTCAGGGACTGTAACCTACAAATCTATGTGCACATGTACAAAACTTCCACCCATAATTACAAATTGCCAAGAGCAGAAACACCCTGGAAGTTAAACTAGTGATGGCCCAACAGTAAAAGATGTGAAAAAGGACGAAAAGGCTCTTTATGAATAGATGGGGAAAGATCTCCAAGATAAATTGTTAAGCAAGTTCACAAAAACCAAGTGAGAACTATGCTGACATCCACTCACAGCTATGATGGAGATTTCATGTCAGACTGCCAAGAACTATATGAACTGAACGAAAAAAAAAAAAAAAAACAGTTGTCTGAAATCACTGGAGAGCAACCACAGCAGCCATAGCTTTGGGGCCAAGACCTTAGAGAGAGGAGAGGTGCTTTTCGACATGTGCCTTGCCCCTTGGGTGGGGCCCTTCAGAGGCCTCCCTGTGTGGGGAAAGCCAAATGGGAACTCGGGATTACTGAGGCAGCTAGGACTCAAGGGGCCAAGATGCTAAATTAAAGGGAAGTGTGGAGATTCGAGGTGGACACTGCACATGTGATTTTAGTTCTTGGCATTTGCCAGTTCTTGAGCTACGTGTGGGATGGAGGCAAGGAACCAAGCAGAAAGATGCTTCTATGAGATTAAAAAGCTACAGCAAAGGGACTTCTCCGCCGGTCCAGTGGTTTAGACTCCACATTTTCACTGCAGAGCTCACAGGTTCAATCCCTGGTCAGGGAACCAAGATCCCTCAGACCATGCAACTCAGCCAAATAATTACATTAAATAAGCAGACTTCTTTAAAAAAAAAAATACTGACTAAAGATGGCTGATTGAACAAATGTATTTACTGCCCCATTAAAATAGAAATAAATTTTTTAAAAAAATGAAGCTATCTTTTTTTAATACAGTTTTTAATTTTTTTATTTAAATATGGTTCAGCACCATATTGGAACTGGGAGGCTAGGACAGGGGCCCTGTGAACCACCAGGCTCACTAAGACCATGAAGACTGCCCTGAAGCAGCAGTTCTCCAAACATGGTCCCTTCCAGGGCTCCCTCAAGGTCAAAACTATGTTCATGATAACTCTATGGTGTTTTCTGTCCTTTTCATTCATTCACTCACCTATGATACCATAACAGATTGAATGCAGAAGCAGAATCCAATAACAACAACAAAAGAAGCAGAACTGTCTTCTGCTAAGCCAGACACTAAAGAGACTGGCAAATTTCAAATGACAGTAATTCTTGCTGGAAAGTTTTAGAAAATAGTTTTCTTTTCAAAAAATGCCATTTATATTAACATTTAATGGGTTTTACTGTCATCCTTTAATGTACATTCTTAAGTTTTTTTTGAGTTTAGTTTTTAACACCAATAGATATTGGCAGTATATCAGTCAATACAACACATATTTAGGACTTTCCTAGTGGTCCAGTGGCTAAGAATCCACCTGCCAATGCAGGGACACAGGTTTGATCCCTGGTCTGGGAAGATTCCACATGCTGTGGGGCAACTAAAGCCTGTGCGCCACTCCTGAAGCCCAAGTGACCTCGAGCCAGCGCTCCGCAGCAAGAGAAGCCACTGCAACGAGAAGCCCACGCACCGCAGCTAAAGACAGGCCATAGCAATGAAGACCCAGCACAGCCAAGAATTAAAAAAAATTTATATATATATGTATGTAACACACATTTACAAAAGTTCTTTGAGATCCTACATTTTTATGAATGTAAAAGGGTCCCGGGTTGAAAATGTTGAGAACTGCTGCCTTACAGGGAAGCCAAGCACTATGGCAACAAAGTAGAGTTGAAGAGCAGCCTCCAAATATCTTAAATGCTTCACAGGACCAAGGTGCTACGTCCTTATGGCTACTTGCCTGAAGAAAAACAAATCCTCGGAAAGAAAATCATCCTCCAGAGCATCTATAATTTTTCGTTCTGACACTTAAGGACCAGGCACACCAAGAGACAGAACAAACACCAAAAGCCAAGAGAAGAAAGAGCAGAAATACATTTACCACTTATCCTCCAGATACTGAAAGTGATCAGAGACTTATATTTAACATGTTCAAGGAAAAAGAGGGAACAAATTTCAGAGAACTAAAATAAAAAATAAGCAACGTGAAACTCTAGCACTGAAATTTTACAAAATCGGGGAGGGAGTGTTGGATGGGCAATCAAAAGGAACTACCAATTTGTAGTTTTAAGATATTCAGATTAGACATAGTGTCAAGAATATTGAAACTGGGAGACGAATAAGGAGAAAATGTAAAAATTATGCAGTTAATTAGGAGAAAAAAGATGGAAAAATACAGAAAAGAGTAAAGAGTCTAAGAATCACCTGAGACATGGTGAAAAGGTCTCATATACACATAGTCAGAGAACCAAGAGAAGAAACATGGGGCAAAAGTAATGTTTAAAGTGATGCTGTCCTAGAGTCTTGCAAAACTAGTGAAAGACAATCGGGGGTGGGTGGGGGGATAATATATACCTTATTAAGACAAAAGGAAGTAAGAAAAGAGTTAAGCAGAAAGAAGAGTCAGGATAAATTTAAAAAAATAGTACGATGACAGATTTATAGCCATAAAGACCAGTAAATTACATTAAATATAAATAACCTAAACATTCTAATTAAAAGACAAAAACCACCAACCTGGTTAAAGAACAAAACTCAAATACATGCTATTTACATGAGATAAACCTTAATAAGGTTATAAAAGGGTTGAAAGTATAAGGATGGAAAAATATGTATCATATAAAGATTAACCAAAGAAAGTCTGAGTAGCGAAACTATTAGAAAAAACAGATTTTAAGGCAACAGTACTACTAGACATTTTTAAAATAAAGACACTTTTTATAGTTACAAAAGGATCAGTCCAACAGGAACATACAAAAATAATCCTAAACCTGTATGCACCTAATAACAGTAATGTAAAAAAAAAATCAGGCAAAAACTATCAGAACTACACGGAAAAATTAATCTACAATCAGTAATAGACAGGAAAGGCAAATCAAAAAATCAGCAGAAGACAGAGAAGACTTGACCAACATGATTAACAAATGTGACTGAATTGATATTAATATAACAATGTATTCAACAAGTGATTGGTACACATTTTCTCAAGGAAGTACACAGGAAACAATAAACTAAGAGAGAACACATACTGGGCATAAAGCAACTCTGAACAAATTTCAAAGGACTGAAATCATACAGTGTATGTTCTCTGAACACAGAAAAACTAAGAACAACACATTGATTATGCTATAGTTTGAGAGGAAAAAAGGTTAAAAAATATACATATTTGTAAATGCAGGTTAAGGTATAAGACTTCTAAAAGATATACAACAAAGACTGTTTGCCTATAAGAAAGAGAACTGTGTGTTAGAGTACAGAAGTGGGAGGCTTTCCACTTTCGTATTTTTTTGATTTTTGAACCATGGATCTATACATAAGTTCAAAAATCTCAATAAAGTCAATCGAACAGAATCAGTTCCTCAAGGATCAATGCATCTGATAACAAGTACTGCATGCTGTGAGCTAAGTACTCTACGTGCCTTGCTACTTTATTCCCAGCATCCCCGTGTGAGAGCTCCCTGCAGGGGCAGAAACTCAAGAGCTTCAGTGGCTTCCCTTGCGCCACACAGGCCTGACAAGAAAGCTGCCCTCCTGTCACCCCAGATGAGGGCCATGTCCAGCGCTAACTCCAGGAGTGCCCTGGGTGCCCCACTCACCACCACAGGCTGCCGGAAATACTCGTCCACTGCAGCACCTCGGAGGGCTGACAGGTCCACTCCGTGGAAGGATGGCTGGTACCTGTGGAAAGCGCCCGCCCCCCATGACAAGGTCACCAGCAGCAGGAGACAGGCGGGCAGACTGCCTTCTCTCCCAGCTGGCCCTCACCCAGCCCAAGTCTTTTAGGTCCTGTGAAGGATAAGGAATGAGAGAGCTGGGGCCGTCCCGGGAAGGCAGGGCACCAAGGGGCACACTCACCAGAAGTTGGCCTTGGTGAACTGCTCCATGTAGAGCTGCTCGTCCGTGAAGGGTGCCAGGTGGACGTCACCAATGGTGGGGAACATGTTTCCTGGGAGTGGGGGCAGGGAGGGGTGCTGGCATCAGGGTGGGACATCAGCAGGGCCTGGCAGAGCCTCAGAGGGCCCCAGGACCCCAACTCTGGGCCTTCTCAGCTCCTCACTCACTCGCTCACTCACTCATTCGTTCACGCACCCATGCAGTCCAGAGGCACCACCCTGGGCCACAGAATACTTGACATCCACCTCCTCACTGCACCTGGACAGCTGGCCAGGGAGGCAGGAAGGCCGAGCCTTCCGAGGGCTGGGAGACAGGATGGCACCTGCCAGGGCCTCAGAGGTCCTGCTCCATCAGCTGGATGGTGTCTCTGGGACCAGTGTGCAGTGGGGAAAACAAAGGCAAGTGCTCTGGACAGGGCGCGGGTGAGCCCCAGGCTACGCCATCACGGCCTCAGCAGAATCCCCCTGCACAGGCCTCTGCTAGGCAAGGTGGGCCACATGCATGGCCTGAAATGGGGTGGGGTGGGGTGGGGCCTCCATCTGCATGACTCAAGGAACAGACGGGTGAGCCAGAGCCAGTGGGAGGAGAGTCAGGGCTCAGGAGCTCTTGGCTACTTCCAAGTCTGGGGCCCCCAGTCACCTGGCCTCCAGATGTGGGCCTCCCCCCCTCCCTTTTATCCGAGGGAGGAGCTCCTGAGGCACCAGGAATCTGCCTTCCTTCAGCTGCAGCCGTGGGGTGGGGAAGGCGAGGTGCTCTCTGGCTCAGAGGCCACAAGCCAGGCCACTTGCCCCTGGAACATCATGGGCAAGTGCCCCCCTTGCCTGCAGGTAGCTGAAGCGTAATTGTGGGGGTTGGGGCGGGGGGGGGAGTTCCTTTTAATGCCCTCAGAGAGTTTCCTGATATGGAACCAAGCCACACCAATGCAGGCTGAGGGGGAGGGGGCCGGGCAGGCTGCCTGACAAGCGGGGTGAGTGTGTAGCTGCCCACCGCACCCCAGAGCCCGACATCCCAGGAAGAGGAGGGCATGCTCTGCTGGAGTCACCGCTGCCCATCAACCCGACTCCACTCCCCCAAGCCCTCCTACCGCGGCCAGTTCGGCCCACCACCAGGGCCAAGCGTGAGAAGAGCAGGTGGAGGACAAGCCTCGGGGCAGCCTGGCTGTCCCTAGGCCTGGAGAGCAGGACAGAACTGCGGGGAACGGCGGCCACCTCCCCGCTCCCCACAGCCCGGCTCCGGCCCCACAGGGCCCACAGGTGCGCCAGCCTCCACACTCTGCCCTGGCCACGGTCACCCTGTGCCGCAAGCGCACACACACAACCCCTTTCCTGTGCAAAAACACGCAGATGGAGACACGTGCCAGAGGCAAGCAGAGAATGGACACAGCGGCAGATGTGCGGGGCAAGTGCAGACCTGACCCCAGTGACACAGGGGTCAACAGGGACCCAGAGACCCCAGAGCACAGACGGGCTGGTACAGAGAGACAGGGTCACACAGCTGCGCCCCAGTGCCAAGAACCCCCACCCCACTCACACACACCCCCACTGCCTCCTGGCCCTGAGGAGCAAAGGGCTCTATGAGGCCGAGGGCAAGTCTATAAGGCCAGGACAAAGATCCACGGTGGCTCCTCAGGAAGGTGCTGGTAGAAAACAACTCTGGCTCCGACCAGAGCCCACTGGACACTGTCCCCCGAGGGCACGAGACGCCCAGGCAACCCAACGAGTGGCCTCATTTGGGGTCCAGTCAGCTAGGGCTGGGTCAGGGCAGGGAGTGGGCGTGAAGGCCCTGATGCCCTTGGCACGCAGGCCTCCAGCGCAGGCCCATCGGGGCCTGCAGCACACCTGTACTGACTGAGCAACAGCCAGGGGCTCCCCCACAGGGGCCCAGGGGCCCCCGACCCGGGAAACGGCCCACACCAGCAGGGATACTCACCGCCAGGTCGCAGGTACTTCTTGGCGTGGAGGTAGCTCTCAAGCATGCGCTCATTGAAGAGCATGTAGCCCATGGGCTCCGAAATGATGATGTCCACTTGCTCGGGCAGCGAGACCTCCTCCACCTTCCCAGGGATGACCACGATGCGGTCGGTGAGGTTGTTACTTTTCACCAAGACCTGACGGTGGGCAGGCCACAGGGGTCATGGGGGTCCTCTTGGGGAGGGCCTCAGTCCACACTCGGCCACCAGATCCCCCCGCCGCCTCCCTGGTAAGCATGCTGACTGTAGCTGTGAGCAGCCTTGGCCCGTCAGGAGGTCACCGCGGCCCCACCCCTCTCGAGCTGGCCCTCCTGCAGCTTCCCAGCCCCTATTGTCACCTCGGGTAGGAGGACAAGCAGGCCCGGCTAAGGCCACCAAAGGTCAACGTGGACACACCTTCCGACCCAGCGATCCGAGTGCTGGGAGGTGTGCACTACAGACATAACCTCACCGCGATGGGGGAGGCGGGTACAAAGCCTCGGGGCGGCACTGGTTTGTGCTGTAGACCGAGGATCAGCCTCAGTGTCAACTACAGCCTACACACAGCAGTCCAGCCAAGCAAAGGGATGCTCGGCAGCCACTAGAGAGAGTGACGCAGCTCTTCACACGACAGATACAACCCAGATGCACCATAAGGAGAGTAAAGCCAGGAGCCAGATGGTGGTGTGGATGTTCATGTGGGAGGGGCAGGTGGAGAGCCCACAGGCTCATGGGGCTTCTGCGTTTGTATCGCTCCGTCTGCCAGGAGGTCTAGGTGGTTGGGAGCTGGAGGTGGGGGACGGAGCCATCCCCATTGTTTGTCTGTAGTTTTTAGGTGTTAAACTCTGAACGAAGGCTTCAGTGCAAAACAACATAAACCAACAAAATGAACTCCTGTTGTCCATCTTTCAAGGGGGGCTCAGAGAGACGGGGGGCTCAGAGAGACGGGTGGCTTGCCGGGGGCCAAGGTCCCACCCTGGTCTGTGTGACTGCATAGTCCTGCCCCTGAAGACCTGAACCACCCCTGAAGCTGGTGGGCAACCACTCATCACGGAAGAGAGGCTCTCTGAGGCCCAGCGAGTCCCTGCCCCTGAAACCACTCAGTTTGGGGGACAAGAGACCCAAGTAGAGAGTGACATCCCCAGGCTTCCCTGGATCCAGGGGTCAGGTCTTCTGGGTTCCCGACTGGGCTGGCTTCCCCAGGCTGGAACAGGCCCAGAATGGGGGTGACGAGGAGAGGCTGGGATCCCAGCAGGCACTGACCTCGGCGTGCTGGGCCATGGTGCTGGCCTCCACTGCGTAGATCTTTCTCGCTCCAGCCTGGGCGGCAAAAAACGACAGGATCCCAGAGCCACAGCCAACGTCGAGAACGATCTGAGGGAGGAGGGGGTAGTGAGGACAAGCTAGCAGTGAAGTGGTATGACAGTAAGGATGGGGGTGTCGCTCCCTGCAGACCCACCCACTGAGCCCACTCCCACCTTGCAGCCTGCTGTCCCTCTGCAAGGCCAGCTGCTCCCCAAGCCTGCTCCCAGTGGGAGCCTGCAGGCTGGATCCAGAGGTGGCAGAAGGGGAGCTTCTGCTTCTGAGCACAGCAGGGATGTCAGGACCAGTACCCCTCTCTGAGATCCAATTCAAGAAGGCATGGCCTGGGCCATCTCTGGGGCATGTGAGAGTGAGGGCTCGCTAGGTCAGGACACCTCTGAGCCCTGCAGGCAGCAGGACCACTCGGACACAGGGCCGACTGGCCCGGCCCACAGAGCCGGCAGAAAGTGGCAGCCCCTGACCCCAGGCTCTCCAGGGTATCCCCACAGCCTGGGAGGAGACCTGGGAACGGTTCCCACTTGGGTGCTCTCTGAAGGGCTGCTGGGCCCCACAGCACAGGCTCTCGGAGTCCAGGCCACAGCGTGGTGGGCTACCCCATATTCTGGATTTGTCTCACTGCCACCACGTGAACAGAAAGCTGGGATAAACGGGTCTGCTGGTGACGCGCATGCGCTAAAGGAGACCTGCTCTGGGCATGGGGTGGGCATCGGTTGAGTGCCTGATGGAGACATTGGTGCTGTCGGGGGGTTGCAGGGGGTGGACCTTGAGTGCCTCTCAGAGCTCTAGATAAACAAGGAAATGGATCTGCGTGCTGGAGGGGCTGGAAGGAGCTTCGCTGAAGAAACGTGGGCTTCCCAGGCCACGAGCGCTGTCCCAGTGTGGCCCATGCCAGGGCACACAGATGGCCACCATGTGAAGGACGACTCCACCCCAGGCTGCGGGGGCTCAGGCCCTGGGCCAGGGGTGGGGATGCTCAGTGATGGGAGGAGATTCTCAGCAACGGTGGGTGGGGGGGCATGACCTAGGCGCTGGACAAGGTGAATCATGTGGAGAGAACCCCCTAGATGTGTGGAGAAAACCACAAACTTCCATGTGGCAAGGGAAAATAAACTGCAGAGGACTTTCCTGGTGGTCCAGTGGCTAAGAGTCCCTGCTCCCAATGCAGGGCCTGGTTCAATCCCTGGTCAGGGAACTGGGTCCCACATGCTGCAACTAAGACCTGGCACAGTCAAAAATAAATTAAAAAAAAAAAAAAGGGAAAACAAACTCTAATCCACAGGAAGAGAAAGGAATCAGCTCTCCTCTCTGAATATATACAATCTGGCCTCTTCTTAATCATGAACGCATAGCTGACTCTTGAACAACACAGGAATCTGGGACGCAACACTCCTTCCCAGTAGAAAATCTGGGTATAACCAGACAGTGGGCCCTCCACGTCCACGGCTCTACAACCAACTGCGGATCATGTGTAGCATGGTTGTTCATATCCATCAAAAACAGTCTGTGGATAAGTGGACCAGTGCAGGTCAAGCCCGTGCTATTCCAGGGTCAACTACCAATGAGTAACAGTAAAAAGATTTTAAAAGGAACTAGGGAAGTGACTAGATTCCATTTCGTCCATGTAACTTAATAGTGCATGCCAAGACACAACATTAGGTGGGGGAAAAGTATTTTGTAGGAAGTGAGTGTGGAATACAATCCTATTTTGTGTGTAGTCTAGTTGCTAAGTCGTGTCCGACTCTTTTCGACCCCATGGACTATAGCCTGCCAGGCTCCTCTATCCATTCTCCAGGATTCTCCAGGCAAGAATACTGGAGTGGGTTGCCATTTCCTTCTCCATATTTTGTATATATATATTTTTTAAAAGATTATAACCCAGGGCGGGAGATGGGAGGGAGTTTCAAAAGGGAGGGGTTATATGTATACCTATGGCTGATTCATGTTGGCGTTTGACAGAAAACAAGAAAATTTTGTGAAGCAACTATCCTTCAATAAAAAAAATAAACTAAAAAGAAAAAACCCCCCCAAAAAATAACCCGAGGGACCTCCCTGGTGGTCCAGTGGCTAAGACTCCGTGCTCCCAGTGCAGGGTGCCCGCGTTTGGTCCCTGGTCAGGGAACTAGATCCCACATGCAAGAACCTAAAAAAACACAGTTCCCACATACTAAAACAAAAAGCCTGTGTGTCTCAGTAAGACCGGGCCCAGTCAAATAAATAAAATTTTTTTTTAAAAAGATTACAACCCTAAAATATATATACATATGCTGATATAGATATACGCAAGGGAAAAACATATACGCAAGAGGGTTTTACTGTTGGCAGTGGCCATTTTAGAGGGAAATGACAGAGGCCTTTCGTGCCCATCTGATACACACCAGGCTTCTACAAAAAGTAGATTCTGCTCCTACAGTCCGAGGAAAGAAAAGACAAAACAATGTGCAAAGGAGAAAGAGAAGAGGCCACGGAGGCAGAGGCACGTGTGCAGCCCGAGGGCACGGGGAGGGGCGCAGACGTGACGCCGGCTCACCTTGTCCTTGAAGTCTGTGTGGTTCTGCAGGATGGCGCGCTGGTAGGTGCCCGTCCGCACATAATCCTGCATCATGTTCTGCTGCTGGGACAGGTAGCCATAAAACTGGAACAGAGACATGCCAATGGCACAGGGCACGCGGCCGGCAGACAGCCGAGGCCCCGGCTGACCCTGCCACAGAGGCAGGTCGGCTTCGGGCAGAGATCAACCTGGGAGGGCCGCATCCCTCTCCGCAGCCAGCTGCTCCAGGGGAGCGGGAAGCTGGAGGCGGCCCCCGTTGTGGGGGGGGCACCACCACTGTCACTGCGGCCAAAGGATGCAGCTGGATGGCACCTGGGCCCTGGAAGCCACCCAGAACTCAGACACGCCACAGGCGGGGTTCTGCGATCGAGGGCCACCTGCCCCATCTCAGGGGACCCAAAGAAGCGGAGGAGCAGATCAAACAGGACCCTAGGGCTCAGAGCGCCAGGCAGGTGAGGTGCTGCGGGGTCTCTCTGTAAGACAACCAGGCGGTCGGGAGGCAGCGTGGCACCTGGGCCGGGGCAGCAGGCAGACCTGGCTTCCCATCTTGGCTCTGTTGCATAATAGCTGTGTGACTTGGAGCAAGTCACTTAACCTCTCTGAGCCTCAGTTTTCTCATCTGTAAAATGGGGACAACAATAGTACTTACCTCCTAGAGCTACTGGGAGGGTTTCAAGTGCTTCCATACGCGTCAAAGCGCTGGAGCCAGTGCCTGGCATGCCCTCCATGCTCAAGACACGGTAACTGTGCTATCGTTACTCAGAAGGCCTGTGAATCTGAGCTTCATCTGCACTCAAATCCTTCCAACAACCCTTCTAGGCAGGCACTGGCATCTGTTTCACAGATGAGGAAACTGAGGCCCAAGCAAGCACAGGACACTCATCTACGGTTACTCATTGAGCAAGTGGCAGAGCCAGGATAGGAACCCAGGTGCCACGCAGCCTCCGGGGACCACCAAGGGTGGCAGGCTGGCCCAAGCGCCGTGTACCCACCTGGAAATATTGCACAGCAGAAGACTCCTCCGTGCGTTCACTGAATACCGACCGCTCCAGGGTGTGGCCTCGGCAGGTTTTCAGGATGTTATAGAAGGAACAGAAATCTGGAAGGGGGAAGCCAGGTCATGCGCGGCCCACTCAAGGGTAGGGGGTTTGGTTTACGTGTGCACCTGACTTTTCTACCTTGAGCCTGAGCGATGTGAAAATCCCCACCCCCCGAAATGTTAAAATCTAAGGAAACGAAAAAGGATAGCCACATGGGCCATGTGGTGGCTGGCATGGGAGAAGGCAGGTGTCAAGGGCGACTGTGCTCCTTGAGGCTGGTGGGAGTGGGCCCAGACGCAGATTTGCCAAAGGGAAGCTTGGCCAAAGCTTTCAAAGAGTAACCCAGGCATCAGATCTCTAGGATTTACCCCAGTAAAGAAGCACAGGTCCACCCACAGCACCCGGCAGTGTCTGTGGGTGGCAAATGGACACAGGGACACCACCCCAGTGTCCAGTCAGAGGGGACTGGAGGGACCCCAGGGGACACTGAGCAGCATGTCAGAGGACCAGTCACCAGCGGTCGGCAGAACCAGATATTATGCAAGTGAACTGTGTTTATCAACATGAAATACCGACCACAAAATTATATCAAGAAAAAGAAACAAAATCAAATCATGAAGACAGGTGGTACTGTGGGGGCTGGGGGAGAAGGAAGGGGGAGTGAGTGTTTACTGGGGATGGAATTCAGTTTAGGAAGAAGAAAGGGTCCTGGCAATGGATAGGGGGGATGGGCGCACCACAGTGTGAACGTGCTGTAACAGCTCTGGAGTCCAGACATTTGAACGTGGTTGCTGGTAAATTTTTTGTGTATTTTAACAAAGTGAACTAGAAGACGGTATCTTTAAAATACACAGTGTGGGGAGATACAGAAAGTTCTGGAGCTGGACAGTGGCGACGGAATGCACTCTGCTGCTGAAATGTACGCTCAGAAAGGGTTAACATGGTAAAATGGTTATGTATCCTTGACCACGATTTAAGAAACTGACAGGATGTAAGCGCAAAAAATTAGAACGCAACTATCCATAGAACAGAAAAAAAGACAATGGGGATTTTATAACATGAACTTCTACTGATAACCCGGGTGGTGTTTCTGTATTTTATTTTTTTAAACAGTGAACTGGGATTGGTTTTGTATAAAGAAGGAACTGGGGTGGAGCCTAAGAATGCTTCCGGTGGGAGGTGGTCAGTCACCTGGCTGCCTTCTCCCCACCTGGCCAGCTCCCAGCTCTGAAGCTGGGTCACAGGAAGCAAGGCGGTCCAGAGGGTCTGGGCCAGGGACGTCTCCCCACTCCATCAGAGGCACTGAGACAGGTAAGGGGGTTCTGGGATCGCAGGGGGTGGCTGTGGGCAGATGGCTTCCCCACTCTGGGCTCTCCCACCCCAGCCCCTGTGCCGACCATCAGGCTCACTGGTTACAGCTCTGCAGGGACCAAGACCAGCCTCTGGACCTTCCAGGGGTCTCCAGCCTGGGGCCACCAGCACCGCTCACCTGGGGCTCCTCAAGTCCAGAAGTAACCTTGCGTGTCCCCCAGATGGGTCTGCTGGATCCCTCCAGCATCTCCTCTGCACTTGGACCTCCGGACCTCGCCCCACCCCATCCACTGCTGCAGGAAGGCTGGGCCCCTGACCCCTACCTGATGGGCCCCTCCCAGAGGCCTGGGGGGTGGCCGGGAGGTCAGGACAGGCCTCTGAGAGGAGGGGACATAGGACCCGAGCCCAGAAGGACCCAAAGGAGCTGGCGAGGTCTGGGGCAGTGTCCAGGCAGCAAGAATGTACTCTTACTGCGGACATATTTCTATTGGGGAATACTTCTGATGTGGATGGGTCATTCGCTGGGTCAGATGACCCGGTTCTGATTCACCCCAGCTCCAGGTGCCCCCCAGCCATGCTGGGAGCCTAGGCTCCCCAGCTCTGGGCACTCCGTGAGCCACGGGGCAGAAGGGACACGTACCGCTGGGTGTGGCGAACTGGAGGAGGACACTGTTGCAGCCCAGGGTGATGATGAACGACTGCTTGCCCACCCGGCTGCACTCCGTCTCCCGGGACACTGAGCACTTGAACACACACACGTCTTCATCTGCGAGGGGAGGGAGGCGGGCGTGAGCTGGCAGGTCCCAGGGCCACCCTTCCCACGTCCTCACGGCCCCCCAGATTCTCCCAGGGTGCCACAACCTCTCCCCGCCAAGTGCTCCATGTGCCCTGCCTGCCCGGCCCACACTGAGGATGAGGCAGTGGCCTATAAGCGCCCCTGGCAGGGACCCAGGACGCACTCTGTCCAGCGGGAAAAGACAGTGGTCCACAGGGCGACCAGGATTGGGGCGGGGCGGGGAGAGATGCATAGGCACTGATGGGGCCCAGGGGGGCATGAACCTCTGCCGGGATGTTCCCTCCTGGAGCACCTCCTGGAGCCAGACCCCACATCGCCCCAAGGTGGGAAGGCACAGGGGAGTAAAAGGCAATCTGGCAGGGTCAGAGGGTCACGGGAACACAGAGGGTGCCCTGGGTCCAGATGAGGGGCTTGGGCCTTCCTTCATGGGCCCCTCTGCATCACGTGGGGGCATCTTCAGAGCCGAGCAGGGGTAGGTGGGAGTCAAGAATCCCCGTGGTGCCTCTGCTTCCTCCAGCTGAGCCCGTTCCTTCCTGACTTTTTTTTTTTTTTTTAGCACTGTGGGATCTTAGTCCTCCAACCAGGGATTGACCCCAGGGACGCAGCAGTGAAAGTGAAAAGTCCTAACCACTGGACCCTCACCAGGGAAGTCCCCCTCTTGCACGTATGGGGAGTGTGGCCACGGGAGCCGGAGAGCCTGCATTCACGCCCTGCCTACGCCACTGAGGTGTCACCCAGGCAGATCTGAGTCCTCGGTTTTCTCATCTGTCAAGCAGAACTAACGGTGGGCAGGGGTCAGACCCAACACACAGACAGGAAGCGCTGCATCCCCGTACCCGCCACTGTCACTGTTACTGGTCATTCACTCAAAAAGCATGGGGTGCCCCACCTCAGCCAAACAGTGAGACACCGCGTCACCAGGAGACAAAATGACCCGATGCTGTGGCCTGGGTGTGGGGCAGTGGGACAGAGCCCTGGTCCCGTCACCAGGGGACAACAGACACTGCCAGCTCACACGGCAGTCTGCAGGACAGCCTCCTGGTTGCCTCAACACAGCTGAAAAGGAAGAGAGACAAAAGCTGCGGGGAGCTGGAGTGAGGGCTTCCCTGACGGCTCACTGGTGCAGAAGCCACAGCAGAGACACAGGTTCAATCCCTGGGTTGGGAAGATCTCCTGGAGAAGGGAATGGCTACCCACTCCGGTATTCCTGCTGGGATAACCCCATGGACAGAGGAGCTCAGTGGGCTTACAGTTTGTGGGGTCACAAAGAGTCAGATACAACTGAACACACGTGTATACCGGAGTGAAGGAGACTCCCAACTCAGGAAACAAACCAGGGTCTCCTGCACTGCAGGCAGATTCTTTACCAACTGAGCTATCAGGGAAGCCCCAGGCTAAAGAGATGTGACCAGCAAACGCCAGGTGTGGTCCTGATATGCAGCCTAATGAAAACCTTTCAACAGTGATTAAGCTCTACTGGGGAAATGTGTGGACTACAGGTGCTTTTTTCTTGGTGGGGGCGGTGAGGCGGGAGGCTGCACCATTCAGCATGTATGATCCTAGCTCCCCAAGCCGGGATCACAGCTGCACCCCCTGCACTGGATGTTCAGAATCCCAACCCCTGGACCAGCAGGGGCATCCCCAGGTGCTGTAACTTTAAAAGATCTAGATGTGACAAGAGCATTATTCTGTAAAGGAATGCCCCTTTTACTGAAAGATACATATGGAAATACAGTGAAGTTTCTTGTGATGTCTACAGCTTGCTTTCAAGTGGCTCGTCAAATCCACAGTGACAACAACAAAATATATTTATAGAGAAAAGCATGAGTACAACTGTGGCAAAGTGTTCCTAATCACCCCCATAACAGCCAAAACAATCTGGAAATAAAGTGGTAAGACTCACAGGCTCAGATTTCAAAATGCATTACAAAGGTACAATAATCAAAATAGAATAGCACTGGCAAATGGAGAGGCATGGACTGTTATGTCAGCAGAATGAGACTCCAGAATAAACCCTCTGCTTATTATAGTCATTTGATTTTTATCAAAGGTCCTGAGAACATTCAAGGGGGTAGAATACAGTCTCTTCAACAAATGGTGCTAGGACAACTGGGTCTCCCTGTACAAGAGAATGAAGCTGGACCCCTACCTCACGCCATATATTAAAAACACCCAACTCAAAAGAATCAATGACCCAAATAAACGTAAGAGTGGAAACTGTAAAACTCTTAGGAGAAGACAGGGGTCAAGCTCTGAGACCTGGCATTTTTCAATGGATTCCTCAAGATGACGCCAAAAGCAAAGAGTTTCAAAAGGAAAACTACATAAATGGGACTTCATCAAAATTACAAACTTTTGGAAGAATTCCCTGGCAGTCCAGAGGTTAAGACTCTATGCTTTCACTGCCATGGGTCCAGGTCAGGGAACTAAGATCCCACAAGCCATGTGCTGTGTCCAAAAAAAGAATTAATAACACACACACACATAAGCTTTTTGCATCAAAGGACAGTATCAAAAAAGTGAAAAAACAACCTACAGAATGGGAGAAGATAATTACAAATCATGTATCTGATAAGAATCTGTTGTCCAGAATATATAAAGAACTCAACAACTAAAAGATAACCCAATTCAAAAAATGGGCAAAAGACTTGAAGAAATGTTTCCCCCGAGATAATCAAATGACCAGCATGTGAAAGGATGCACAGCATTATTCATTACGCACCTGCAACTCAAACCATAACCAGAGGTCACTGCTCACCCAGCAGGATGGCTACAATTTTAAACAAAACGTGCAAAATGACACATGCTGGTGAGAAATTGAAACTCTTGAGACCCTGCTGGTGGGAACTCAGAATGGGACAGCCTCACAGAATTACCATTTGACTCAGCAATCCCACTCCTCGGTATAAACCCCAAAGAACTGAAAGCTGATATTCAAATGAATACCTGTATGCAAATATTCAAAGTGTCACTATTCAAAACAGCTCAGATGTCTGTCCACTGATGACTGGATAAAGAAAATGCGGTCCATCCGCAGAATAGAATATTACTCAGCCATAGAAAGAAATGAAGTCCTGACACCTGCTACCCCATGGATGAGCTTCAGAAACATGATGCTGAGTGAAAGAGGCCAGACACAAATGGTCACAGGTGTACGATCCCATTTATCTGGAACATCCAGAATTAATAAATTCAGAGACAGAGAGCAAACTGGCGGCTACCAGGGGCTGAGGGTGGGAGAATGGGGAATAACTGCCTAATGGAAACAAGGTTTTCTTTTTGGACATTGAACTGTTTTTTGTTACCTGAATTTTATCTCAACAGAAAAAGCAAAACATTCCAATGCGTGAATCTGGATATGAAGGGCCAACAGGTGTTCGTTGGGCCCCCTAATCACCCCTGGTTTGGTCTCAGCCCTAAGCCTGGTCCACAGTCTGGAAGAGGCTCCTGAGGGCACAACCTAGGTTTCCACCAGACCACCTCACACCTCAGGAGCCAGGTGCCCCCTCCTGGGGGTGAGAAAGGGGAACAGGGCATGTGTAGCTTCCTGACAGCGGGCAGGAGGGAAGAGGGGGCTGGGCGGGGGCAGCCCCAGGGTCACGGCCAGGCTGCACCCACAGGGGGCCCAAGACAAGGTGCTCCTGAGTCCAGCTGTAAACGGGTCTCAGGAACGGACCCAAAACCTTGACGCGGTACCCACGCCTGCTCCTGGGTCAGAAAATAAAGCCAATCTGTCAGCTACTCCCGCGTGGCGGCAAACAGACAGGGAAGGCCTGTCTCCCTTTTCGCCAGACCAGAACAGTCTGGCAACCCAACCAGCTGCCCGGCGGCCTGGCGCCAGGCAGGCGACCACAAGGACCTGTGGGCAAGGGAAGCTTGGCTGCATCTAGAGGCCCGGGACAGGGAAGCCAGGGTGAAGGACAGCCTGAACTGTCTCATCATGGGTGGGCCCCCCAAAGCCCACGGGACCAGCATTTTGTCTACATCATAGCTATACGAACAGGTCAGTCCCTGGTATGCAGGGGATGGTCGGTAAATATTTGAAAAACCAAAAGAAAAAAGAAAAAGAAAGCTGAATCAAGCTCCTATCTTTTTTAAAAGCCTCAGAAGTCAGAGCTCTTGGACTGGCCGTCAAGGACCTCCCCTCCCAGTCCCTTCCCAAGGCCACACTAGCACCCCAGCGCCCATGGTGGGCAGGGCTCCGACCTCTGCACTTGCACTTCCCCTCTCCCCGCCTCACTGGGAGGGGCCCTCAGGACAATGGACAGAGCTGGCCGCGCTGGGCCAATGGTTCCCCTCTCCACGCACCTCCCTGGGGCCGGGGCTCAGGCACAGTCTGCCTCCTGGCCCCCCAGGGGGAGGGGTTCCCAGGAGGGGGCTTCTTCCCCCAGGAAAGGGGCCTGGAGCCCACAGGGCCTGGACGCACCCGCGGGTGAGCCGTGGAAGAGGCAGAACTGGCCTCTGGGCTCTGCTTTCAGAAACTGACCCAAAACGCACCACCTTCATCACCTTGGCTGGCACAGAGCAGAGAGGAGGGCTGGCAGGCTGTCAACCGTCCTGGGAAGGGCTGCAAAGGGGGCTGCGGGCTGGGAGGGTGTGCCGGGTACCCTCCTAGCCAAGGTGAGCAGGGCCCGGGTCCCTCCTCCCTGCAGTGATGGGACAGGCGGGCTGAGAAATGAAGGCTCCGAGGAAGCTCACCAAGATGGGCTCTCAACTGGGAAACGAAGGAGTATTAGTCAGGCCACAGCCACCGCAAGCATGCCTGCCCTGCTCCTAGACCCGGCCTGGCACCCTGGGCTGGCTTCCCACCCACCACACTGCAAAGTCTGTTCCGTTGAGGCTCCAGGGCCAGGGGTCGAGGGAATCACCCAGGGCCCGGAATCACCAGGGACAACTCTACAGGGAATGCAGTGCTCTGGGGGTGTGGTGAGGGACCTGGAAAAACACCCTACCAGTCTCGCTCTCCGGGC